TCCTGGGAATAAAGCCATCTACAAATAACGTTGGATGGTGGTAATGAACAACAGACCATAGAAATCTGACTTTACTCTGCTTTATGTTCAGGCTTTTGAATAGCTATCTTAGTGTCCATCAGTGTTAGTACTGTTATTGCAGGCAGCAGTATTTTTATCAGCCACAGCTCTGAAGAAATTGTTTGCACTACTTCTATTTTACTGATAGCAAAAATTGAAAATCGGAGAGACATGAACTGATTAAAGGAAAAAAACAAGTTTCCAACAAATAAGGCTATTCGCAGAAATCCATGGAAAAATCATCGTACACGAGGAAAAGAACCAAAAATTTAATGGCACTAACCTCCCAGCCCGGATGTTCTTGCAACCAGGTATGAACCTCTGAAGCCAACGGTGCAGAATCGCCCTCGCATATCTCCTTGGTTGTAGTCTGGTACATTGGAATACGCACCTCAGGTAGTAAAATACTGGCGACAGGTGCTTTCCCACTTAACCAATCGCGGTTAACTTGATTGAATTCCTCCGGAAACTTCTCTGTAGAAGGTAGAGTTGCCAGATAAGCTGGTGGGGGACCACCAGAACGAATAACATCTTCTGCTAGGCGACGATAGTAGTTGATGGCATTCTGTAAAGCAGTTTCTTGTGCCTGTCGTCGCCGCTCAGACTTTTCGCGAACTCGTTGTTTACTTTGCTCTCGTTTGTGCTCCCTTACTAGTTTGGTCAAATTTCCAATAAACTCGTCAGTCTGCGTAAGGAGATGATGCAAACGCTGATCTTTCTTTTCATCAATTAAACAACGATACCCCTCTTCATCTTCAGCCATAAGACGACGCATACGCTCTCGATCGATTCGTTCTTGCTCCTTTCGTTTGTCACGTTCCGCATTAGCCTTATAATTTAACACAGCCTTGTTTATTTTAACCATTCGACTATTGGCATTTCGATGAAACTCCCTGAAGTCTTTTCCGTGTGTCAAAATAGCGTTGAGGAACTCCTGGTGCTTCTGGCGTCTCCTCTTCTCCTGTTCATGTTTCATTTGTTTCTCTAGCTTCTCGGTAAATCGGGCTTCTTTCAATGTTTGTTTCTTTGGTCGACGGTAAGCTTTCACATTTAAGGCAGTCTCTAGACTAGTATCGCGACGCATGGACGCAACAATATCCTGCCGAAGCTGCCGTTGAAAATTCAGCAGTCTCAAGGAACGCAACTCCAGCATTAAGGAAATCCGCTGCTCCGGTGTTGAAAATACGGTTAGGGAGCTCAATTCTTTAATACGTTGTGCAATTCTCGACTGAATCCTCTGTTCTCGTTCTTTTAAAAGTTCTACTGGATCCAGTCCTTGGGGTCGCTGGATAGGAGTCAAGCGACTGCGGCCGAAAGCATGACCGCTTGAAGCAAAGAATCCCGTCGGTTGTGGACAACCTGGATATGCTTGATAACCTACTGACTGACCGATTCGCGCTGTTACCAAATTCGGTTGTGCTGTCGGTCTGGTTCTGGATGTGAGTGACAAAGAGGATGCATTTCGTTGAGACTCTAGCTGTGGAGATGCTGTTGCAGTTGCAGTTAGAACTGAGTTGTTCGATTGAACGTGACCCTGCGATTGAGGCCAACTGTTTGCTTGAGTAACTGTCGTATTTGGATTTACGTTAGTCAGATTCGGATGCCCCATAAATTGTCGCCCTTCAGCGGCCAGTAGCAAAGTTTCCGGGACAGGTTGCGACTTAGCTAAAAGCTTGTAAGCGTTAATTTGAGCACGCAACTGCACTAATTGATCTCTCATAAAAGGAGTGTGGGGAGTGGCAGTAAAAGTCGAATCACCTGATGGCGGAGCATGCGGTTGCGGAGTGGGGATGTACGACGCCGGTGGACCTGCATCCGCCGGGGGGCCTGACGGTCTCGGCATCATCACGTTGGGTGCTCCAGGCCTCGGAGTTTGTGATTGGGGTACCTGAATTATTGATCCACCTCCAGGATTGAAAGGAACAGGTTGGGGGGGTATTGGGCCTGCATACACAGGAATATGCTGGGCGTTCGGCGGACCAGGATTTGTGCAGTATGACACGTGGGGAGGCAATGCTGAGGTGTTCGGGTTGGGAGGCATTGGTTGTTGAGTGGAAAAGATCGGCTGAGATGTCGAGGTCGGATGCATAGCCGCAGACATGGGTTGCGACATGCTATCCATGTCTATGGCACCGTCAAGTCTGAAAAACGGAAAAATATCGAGTACCATCTATTGTCCACAAGCTTCCTGTACTTTTAGCAAAAAACTAATGACCACCATTGCGGGTGAAATCGAATGCTGTCATAAATTAGGATGAAAAATTATAGCATTGATCAAACCCAAGGATAAAATGATAAAGTAAATGTTTGTTTGTTCATCAATAGGCGTCAGTAAACGGTGATACTTCTTCTTTGCTTTTTGCTTACGACTTCATCGTAATCATCGTACAGCGAAATATGGTGAAGCTATCTTCGCTGAGCGCTTCTAAGCTCGAAATGTATCGACATGTGAGATAGGTAAAAGCAGATGGGAAGCGAGCCTGTTATCGTAGCGGAAAAACATGAGCAATGGTCTACACGAAGCACAGTTTAATAGTCCATAAAATTTTTTTGAGCATCTGGGCTTAATAAAAAGCGACAAGGCAATTGCTGTCAGTTCGCCTTTGTGTCTCCAATCAACTAGTTACGAAGCCATTTGGACCACAAACCGGAAGCAAGTAATCAACATTTGTTTGCGCATTTCTTCATACCTCATCTCAAGTGTCTGTTGCATTCAAAGTGATTTTCTCCTATCCGGAATAGCAACTGCAGCAAGAGGCGCTGCGGTAGACGGGAGTGGTATATACGCAGTGCGTGCCTTTGTAAGCAGAATGAATTATTCTGAATTTGATGTGATAATGAATTTAGCACCAAAAGGGCGGAATAAATGATGGGTTACCTAGATGTTACCGGCTCACTTGACTCTATTAGCGCTCAACTACACAAACCTCAATAGTCGAAAACGATTAGTCAATGGATATCTTCCATGGATAAACTCCTTGCCTCATAATTTGAGTGTGACAGTATACGCAAAGTGGTAAATTCAGTGAAGCGTGGCGTCGGTGCAAAAGGCATTTAAACTCTTTATTGATGAACGGCAGAATGGGTAAACCCTACAGTAACGAGAATCGACTATTCACCTACGGGAACCAGCAACCTAAAACCCGGGGATTGAAGTGGTGAATCACATCAGGCCCTGACTAAGCACCTCGAACCGTGCGTGCGGTTGCCTCCTTTACCGGGCTATCGTCAGCCGTGAGGCAAATACTCACCAGGTGATCCACCAGACCGGAAACACTCGAGGAAAAATTCAGCTGTGTTGTATTCGCATTTTCGTCCGGCAAAACTGTGTCAAACGGCAAAGCATGATCACAATTCACAAATCCATTCAACATGAAGAGCTTTTCTTTAGACTGGATCGGTTCAGAGAACAAGGGGGTCCAGGAAGAAGAGAGAAACTACGTAAGAGTTGGAAGCTAATGTACACTGCTTGTGGTTTTAAGCTGGTCTACAACGAAATTAATTGGGAAGGTCGAAATACGGTAATCTCGCAGAACAGTTGCCGTTTTCGAACGATGTGCTAAGCTCGCCGTAGGCCCTTAGTACACATATATGAGAAGACAATAATTTCAGTAGAGTAACACGCTACTATTCTATTTCCTTGAGCAGAAACGAATCAGATAGAGCTTCAAGGTCGAAGGAGTTGTTGTAGATTTATTATTGTTCTTTCTGTTGCATACATTGGTTATTCTGGGCGCATACTCTAACATTTCGCTCGTCCTGTTTTAGCTCTCATGCTTCGTTTTTGGTCGATTAAAACCTATCATTAAGGCATTGTCTTCTGGCTGGCCTTCCGATTAAAGGTGTGATCTGGTGCACTACAAGTTCTCTCCGTTACACTAAGATTCGACAGAAAATCAAGGAAGGAACACTCGGGACACTATGACGAAGTTCAGCTACGAAAAACGAAGGCAATGACTGGCGATTAACACGCAAGAACAGCTATCAACTAGGCGCTGTCAAAAGGAAACGCGCTCCCCGATCACAAGTATGTCGCTTTGCACCAGGGTACGAACCTTGGGAGTTTACTCCCTGATTAGCAGATGACACTGGACTTCATGACTGGGGATCTCGCGACAAACCCAGCCGGTACCCGTTTACGACAAGCAGATACTATTTCAGTTCTCACAGGACGAATTGACTCTTTCCAATTGCGTGTCCAGTTCCTTGTGTTGCCAGCTGTTTCAGTGGCTTACACTGACAACAAAATGAACTGGACGCGCGTTGGCAACAGCCACAATTCGTCCTGTGGGAACTGAACTTCTTTCTTTTTTTTTAGTTTTACTTCCTTTTATTGAATACACATTGATACAATTTTCAGGAAGGGGGAAGCGGCCAGTCAAAGGGCTGCCATGGGGAAAGTCAGACGGTGGTGGTGGAGTTCGAACACGTCCCCCGAGGTGGTAATTTGGTGACGTTACCACCGGGCCACCAACTGATAAGCCTGCGTGTTGCAAACAGTGTCGTTTGTGCACTTAGCTTTCTGTTTCCGTATTTGTATTGTCGATCAACTTGACCAGCTCTTATTATATATGCAGCCGAAAGGCAGCGATCGAAATCGTGGCAAGACAGTGTGAAGTTGACAGTTGGATAACCAGAAAAACTGAATTCGAGGTGTTCTTTTCCCTTCCTGCTTCTCAAAAAGGAATAAAACATTTACACTGCGCATTAGTGGTTACCAAACTTGGGTGCATAATAACAAAAATTCAGAACGATAGATTGACCGTGGTCGCTTCTTTTCCTTCGCAAAATGAACCGAACTGAAGGAAATTTGAGTGCACGTAACCTTGAGCCGCACCCAATTTCATCCATTTTATCATTAAGTCATTGAGTAATTTAACTTAGTTTGTCTGTTACGTTTCTCGGCTATTCGTCCGCGTGTGATTCTGCTTCTCGATCATTCTTTCTTTTCAAACCTGGATATTCTGATACTCCAAGACAACTGTTAGCATGGCTTTCTGACTATTTCACAGAGGGTTCAGTGCACCAAATCGGAAAGGACATCAAAAATCTCTTGTTAGTGATTCTGGTGTCCTTCGAGATGCTGTTCCATCTCCATATTTCGTTTCTGCTTCTATTAGTGATATTTTGGTACCACCTGCACATACCCAAAAGTACGCTGACAACGTCGTTTTGTCAGACAATTTCATCTCCGGAATTGGAAAAATTTCACGTCCAACAGTTTTCCAACCAATCTGATGTTAGTTTTAACACATCTAAGTACATACAGTGTATCTTCAGTCTTCCCTGTCTCCCCATTTCAACGGACTCTGCTATCTTCAACTAAATCCGTGGTCAGGATGACCTCAGCCAAGTACCGAACTGTCACTATCGACAATAATCTCCGGCGGTCCACACACATCTCCATTAGCATGGGAAAACTGAGACGCCCTTCTTTTCAGTTGCGCGAACTTAGGCAATTCTGAACCCCACAGTCAGCCGTGTCTTCCTTCATTCACCAATGCGATTTCCCCTTTCAACTGTGTTTCTCCCCTGTAGTGTTGTAGTGTCTTACTTTTCTATCCACTTTATCTTGTTTTAATATGCGCAGCACCTGACACACAATACAAAAATTCTGTTCGTAAATACGCACGTGTTCTCCTAGTGTTGCTGAGGAA